ATATATAATACTGATAAGGACCAGTAGCTACATATATATACTACTGATAAGTACCAGTAACTAAATATACTACATATATATAATACTGATAAGTACCAGTAGCTACATATATATACTACTGATAAGTACCAGTAACTAAATATACTACATATATATAATACTGATAAGTACCAGTAGCTACATATATACATACTACTGATTAATACCAGTAACTAAATATACCACATATATATACTACTGATTAATACCAGTAACTAAATAAACTACGTATATATAATACTGATAAGGACTAGTAGCTACATATATATACACTGATTAATAACGGTAGATACATATATATACTACTGATTAATAATGGTAGATACATATATATATACTACTGATTAATACAAGAAACTAAATATACTACGTATATATAATACTGATAAAGACCAGTAGCTACATATATATACTACTGATTAATACCAGTAACTAAATATAGCACATATATATACTACTGATTAATACCAGTAACTAAATATACTACGTATATATAATACTGATAAGGACTAGTAGCTACATATATATACTACTGATTAATAACGGTAGATACATATATATATACTACTGATTAATACCAGTAGATACATATATATATATACTACTGATTAATACCGGTAGATACATATATATATATATATAGAACTGATAAGTACCAGCAGCTACACATATATATACTACTGATTAATACCAGTAACTAAATATACTACATATATATAATACTGATAAGGACCAGTAGCTACATATATATATACTACTGATTAATACCAGTAACTAAATATACTACGTATATATAATACTGATAAGGACCAGTAGCTACATATATATACTACTGATTAATACCGGTAGATACATATATATATGTACTACTGATTAATACCAGTAGATACATATATATATAATACTGATAAGGACCAGTAGCTACATATATATACTACTGATTAATACCGGTAGATACATATATATATACTACTTATTATTACCAGTAGCTACAGATATATATATATATATAATACTGATAAGTACCAGTAGCTACATATATATATAATACTGATATCAAAACAGTACCAGTAACTACATATATATAATACTGATATCAAAACAGTACCAGTAACTACATATATATAATACTGATATCAAAACAGTACCAGTAACTACATATATAGAATACTGATATCAAAACATTACCAGTAACTACATATATACAATGCTGATATCAAAACAGTACCAGTAACTACATATATATACTACTGATATCAAAGCAGTACCAGTAACTACATATATAGAATACTGATATCAAAACATTACCAGTAACTACATATATACAATGCTGATATCAAAACAGTACCAGTAACTACATATATAGAATACTGATATCAAAACAGTACCAGTAACTACATATATCTACTACTGATATCAAAACAGTACCAGTAACTACATATATCTACTACTGATATCAAAACAGTACCAGTAACTACATATATCTACTACTGATATCAAAACAGTACCAGTAACTACATATATATAATACTGATATCAAAACAGTACCAGTAACTACATATATAAAGTACTGATATCTAAACAATACCAGTAACTACATATATATAATACTGATATCAAAACAGTACCAGTAACTACATATATATAATACTGATATCAAAACAGTACCAGTAACTACATATATATATATACTACTGATACCAAAACACATAGCTACTACTCGCGGTTGATAGAAATGCGAAATACCGGCAGGTAAAATAAACGGAACACTCCCCAACCACCTGAAAGAGGCTCCGACCCCGTTGCAGATATCAAAATAGCAAGTCAATAATTATATTATAAGGTTTGAACTACCATTTAATTCTCAATTAATACTTTTTGGGGTCAGTATTGCTAGATTTGATTATGAAACAATATTTTTATTGCTACTCTTTTTCATCTACTATTGTAAGCAAAGGCAGACTACTCTGTCTTTTTCCACGGGTAAATTATATTGATCCTACTACAAAAAAATAGAAGAGGTTGGTCTGTACTCCTATAGTACTAAGAAGAGGGACAAAATTAAAAGTATATGGAACTTTATTACTGAAATAATTAGTTAGAAATGAACTATGATTTACTCTTTTCAAACTATCTTGAAACAACCTATTTCCAAATATTAATGTAATATATAGTAAAATTGTATCCATGTACTACTTCATTATTTATAATTGTATGTCAATTTCTAATAGATGTACTCTTGTAATTGGATTTGGACGTATGTATGTATCACATGTTGTAACAATTGTATATATGATTGAATAAAAGTATATATGAGAAGAACACAAAAATAGTATAAGGTGATTCATTGCTTATCTTTCATGTTAAGGGGTGAGCACCATCATTAATGTTCGCAGTATTCGGTGAACACCATCATACAAGTTCAAAGTTTTCGGTGAGCACCATCATACAGGTTCAGAGTATTCAGTGAGCACCGTCATACAGGTTCAAAGTATTCAGTGAGCACCGTCATACAGGTTCAGAGTATTCAGTGAGCACCATCATACAGGTTCAAAGTATTCAGTGAGCACCATCATACAGGTTCAAAGTATTCGGTGAGCACCATCATACTGGTTCAAAGTATTCAGTGAGCACGCTCATACAGGTTCAAAGTATTCGGTGAGCACCATCATACAGGTTCAANCTGAAACAAAATATTTCTAAAGATTAATGTAATATATAGTAAAACTGTATCCATGTACTACTTCATTATTTATAATGGTATGTCAATTTCTAATAGATGAACTCTTGTAATTGGATTTGGACGTATGTATGTATCACATGTTGTAACAATTGTATATATGATTGAATAAAAGTATATATGAGAAGAACANTTTCAGTGAGCACCGTCATACAGGTTCAAAGTATTCGGTGAGCATCATCATACAGGTTCAAAGTATTCAGTGAGCACCGTCATACAGGTTCAAAGGATTCGGTGAGCACCATCATACAGGTTCAAAGTATTCGGTGAGCACCATCATACAGGTTCAAAGTATTCAGTGATCATCATCTTAAAGGTTCAAAGTATTCGGTGAGCACCATCATACAGGTTCAAAGTATTCAGTGAGCACCATCATACAGGTTCAAAGTATTCGGTGAGCACCATCATACAGGTTCAAAGTATTCAGTGAGCACCATCATACAGGTTTAAAGTATTCAGTGAGCATCATCGTAAAGGTTCAAAGTATTCGGTGAGCACCATCATATAGGTTCAAAGTATTCAGTGAGCACCATCATACAGGTTCAAAGTATTCGGTGAGCACCATCATATAGGTTCAAAGTATTCAGTGAGCACCATCATACAGGTTCAAAGTATTCGGTGAGCACCATCATACAGGTTCAAAGTATTCAGTGAGCACCATCATACAGGTTCAAAGTATTCGGTGAGCACCATCATACAGGTTCAAAGTATTCGGTGAGCACCATCATACAGGTTCAAAGTATTCGGTGAGCACCGTCATAAGTCACAAAGTGCTCACCTTCATTGTCAACAAAGATTCACCAATGAGTATCTGAATGAATATAATTCACACACACAAAATGAAATTTAATTAACCCGTTCTACCAAAATATTTTATTCCAATTAAATTTCTTTTATAAATTGAAATGTCATTTGCGAAACAACATAGATTAAATTTTGAGATGGTTTCTATTTGGTGCCTTATAATACTAATTAACCTGCCGGTCTGCCGTTAATGAATTCAATAGATGCCAGTATAGTTGTAAATAGGTTGAACCATTAATTACACAAAATTATACCAGGGTATCATCTGCCACATGTTATTTTTACTTTAAAAAAACAAAAAAAACTTTACCAACACTATTTTTCTTAAAACCACATCCAGCTACTGTTAAACCCATTCCCCCTCATTTATTCCATTCCAACTATAAACAATGAAGAGCGACACGGTGTGATGTGCAGCAGGCCAAGTTTACGGGCTTATATCCGGAGACTTACGAACTGGATAGCATCCTGTTCTATAGGGCAAGATTTGTCGCTTTATAATTAAAATATCCCACCCCAAATACTCCAATATAGCCAGAAATAAGGAAATGAGCAACCGGTACTGAAACAGCAATTTTGACCTAATTTCACCACTGGTAGTAATCAAAAGTTCAAATCAGTTATGAAATAATAATACTTGAGACTTATTATATTTTACCACCGACACCTAAATCTAAACTAGTTTTGAATATATTCATAACAATTTGTTTCTAGCCTTGACATCTATATGCTTTGACCAAAGGGACACTTCCATCCCACATTATCAAACTATATTATCCTAAGGTTACAAAATTAACTAAAAAAAAAGAAATGTATAACAATCAGGACTCTCCACCAAAACCAGACTTGAATTAACCCCCCTTCTTTAATTACCAAAAATAGTTTGGGGAAGCATAAATAGCAACGAAGTCTTATCACTTAAATGTTATACAAGTTATACTGTATAAACCATGACAATTGCTCAGTATCCATGGCCAACTCTTACCGCAGAAACAATGAACGTTTGCCCTGGTCTTGATGTACTATCCTATATGGCTGAACAACCTACCCCATCAATTATAGAAGGTGAAGTCTGAACAGATTTCACTCCCTTTTATTGCAACAAAAATGACCCCTGCCCAGTGACAATAGGCTCCAGGGTCATGAAGCGATCTCAATTCTTGATTTGTCTGAAGTTTTGACTTAGCCAATCACAGATAACGTCACGAAAAGTGACGTCATACATGATTGGATCTATCGGGGCATGAAATATTAAAATAAACTATCCTTCTATTCCTCCTAAAACAAATGCTCTAATCATACGAAATTTACAATAGTCTCAATCGACACCTAACACAAGTAAACTAACTCCACCCAACACAATTTAACCTTACCTACAACACCCCTACGAAATACATGTATTTAAAATAATTCCTACCTTCGAAAACATCCAACACAGATATGTCCACTAAATGTTACTTTACTTGTACTCTTCGTTTGGGGAGGGGCCGCTCCAAAGCCCATGCGATATCCTCCAGGCCCACGGGTCAAGGTCACCTGCCTGGCCAATCAAAAACGTTCATAATGTCCAGCTGTACCGTAGAGGAAATGTTGCAGCCACACAGCATGCTGGGGTGACCGCCAACCCTAGGGGAACGAGGTACCGCAAGGTATATGTATTTGTCAATGAAAGCTACTTGTGCACTCGAGCGAGGCAGTAATAACAATATCTGTGATACATGTGAGAGCGACACTTCGGAGCAGCCATCCTCGTATTGCAACGCATGACTGGCTTGTGGGTGACGGCCTAATGATCACGAGTATACCATAAGAAGGAGTTTGCCTAACTAAACGTCTTCAAAATGAGAAGCAATTAAACTTTTAGACACTTTCCATGTGCTATCAGGAAGCATGCGAACATCCCACATGGCCCTAGACCCACACGTCTCCTGCAATATGTCAAAGACACCCCTCGAATTTAACAAAGTAAATATTAGTTAATTAAGAGCGAAATACCCAAAACTGTTATCGATAGTGCGAAAATAAATTAAGCAATACTATTATCGAATCGATCGGCGGTAGACAACCAGAAAGACAATTGATCACAAACAGTTACAAAGGCAACCTCACCTGTCTGGTACCTAGTGGCAGATCGCAATTTCCCGTCAGCTTCCCGATAATATTATCCGCGCGCGGTTGATAGGAAATACGAAACCCCGACTGGTAAAATAAACGGAACGCAAACTGATGTGCGTTACACCACATGATGAGGCTGCGAACCCGACGCCAAAGACAAGTAAGCCGAAAGTGATCGTTATCAAAACATAAAGTCAATACGTCAGGAGTTTGGAAAATATTGAACACCAATTGTCAATGTATTTCCCTACCTATCGGAGTATAACAATTGACCAAATTAATTGAAAATATGAATGTACATAACATGCAGAAACATACCCACTGGCCAATAACAATGTTGCACCATGCCACAGTAACAAAACATAAAAAATAATAATACCAAAATTTCCCACAGGAACTGGAAGTGTAACCTTTATGGCAGGAGTAGATTTCAAAACTTGTTGTTTCTACGTCCAATTGATCTTTTAACATTCGAAGTCGAAATGAACATCAAGAATGAGCAATTCCGTCTTTGCATATTGCAGAGTTATCTTCTCTTGTGAGCAGGTATTTAGTGTTACGTCATTGGTTTGTGAGAGTAACGTCATCAATTTTTGAGAAAACGACGTAATTTTTTCACACAAACCAAAGACGTAACAATCAATACCTGCTCACATGAGAAGATAAATCTGCAATATGCAAAGACGGAATTGCTAAAACTAGAAAGTGAATTTCATCAATATCGTAATCGATCACCATCTGTGTAAGCAATAATTAATACAAAGCGAGCACCATCTAGAACAAGTAAAAAGGTGAGCACTATCAACATAATTATACTATAGGGTCCATCGTTGCTAACCTCGCATGTTACGGGGTGAGCACCATCATTAATGTTTAAAGTATTCGGTAAGCACCATCATTAATGTTCAAAGTATTCGGTGAGCACCATCATACAGGTTCAAAGTATTCGGTGAGCACCATCATACTGGTTCAACGCATACGGTGAGCACCATCATACAGGTTTAAAGTATTCGGTGAGCACCATCATACAGGTTCAAAGTATTCGGTGAGTACCATAATACAGGTTCAAAGAATTCGGTGAGCACCATCATACTAGTTCAACGCATACGGTGAGCACCATCATAAGGGTTCAAAGTATTCGGTGAGTACCATCATACAGGTTCAAATTATTCGGTGAGCACCATCATTAGTGTTCAAAGTATTCGGTGAGCACCATCATTAATGTTCAAAGAATTCGGTGTGGGCCATCATTGTCAACATCAAATAGAACATGGTGAGCACCATCAAAGATATTCAAAGTTTATGGTGAGCACCATCAAACTTACTTTGCCCATACGTATATTAATTACCCACCCAATGCTATAAACCATGAAAATTACTCAGTCTCCATGTCAACTTTTACCGCAGGAACAATGAACGTTTGCTATTGTAATGTTGTACTATCCTATAAGGCTGAACAACCTACACTATCAATTATAGAAGGTGAAGTTTGAGCAGAATCCACTTCCTTGTGTTGAACAAAAATGACCCCTGCCCAGTGAACCCAGGCCCCATGACCATGAAACGATCTTAATTCTAAATTTGTCTTAGGTTTTGACTTAGCAAATCACAAATAACGTCACGAAAAGTACACTTATACATGATTGACTCCAACCAACACAATTTAACCTTACCTACAACACCCCTACGGAATACATGTATTTAAAATAATTCCTACCTACGAAAACATCCAACACAGATATGTCCACTGAATGTCCCTTTACGTGTCCACTTCTTTTGGGGAGGGGCCGCTCCAGGGTCCATGATGTATCCTCCAGGCCCAAGTGCCAAGGTCACCTGCCTGGCTCAACAACAAACTGCATAAGTCCCCAAATAGAATTTCTGGGTGACTGCCAACCCTAGGGGAACGAGGATGCCGCAAGGTATATGTATTTATCAGTAGAAGTTACCTGTGTACTCGACCGAGGCAGTAATAACAATATTTGTGATATTAACTATCGTGTAGATTGTGTATACGTGTGTGAACGCAGACTCTAGGGCAGCCATCATCGTATTGCAACGCATGACTGGCTTGTTAGTGACTGCCTATTAATAACGGGTATAACATGTAGGAGTATGCAGATGGGTACAATGTAGCCAAGGTTGAACGGAGTGTACAGAATTGTTGGGAACTGTCAATACTTAATATTGGAAAGGTAAATGAGATTTTGGATATGCTTAGAACTGTATAACCTGTATTACAAGGTCAAAAGTATAGACATTAGAAATAGACATGAAACCAAGTTTTATCTCGGGGACCCACGTTGGGCGCCAATTGTTACGAACTTAGCCGGCTGACCGGTGTCGCGCCGTCCCCAGACTCGCCACGTTACAGTATATCAAGGGTTCGACTGCCGCTTTCGATTGCAGATAAATAATAGGTAGATACACAGACGACTGGTAACAATGCCAAATTGGACGGAAATAAAGTTCAACAATTAATTACAGGAAACAGAAAACATATATCGACAAGACACGTGTTGGCCAAAGTGGGATTTTACTACATTACATTATTCCTAACTGTTCCTACTTACAATTCTACAGCAATAATTACAAGAACATTCCTATCAAGATGTGTATATCGACCACGTGGCGGCCTCGCTACCAACCTACCCCTAACTTTACCCATACATTTCTTCGTTCTACACGTAACCTATGAGCTGTCCGCTTATCGAAACCATCCCTAAACGTCTTATAATTGACCAGAGAATGACAAAGACTATCTGAATTTCTAAAACAATAATTCCACGCGATGTGTCCACCGACCACGTGGCGACCTCGCTGCCTACATCCTCCAAATACTACCCTAACATTTCTACGTTCTAGACGTGAGCTGTGAGGCTTCCGTCCATAGCAACCATCACTAAACGTCTTTCCAAATACTACCCTAACATTTCTACGTTCTAGACGTGAGCTGTGAGGCTTCCGTCCATAGCAACCATCACTAAACGTCTTTCCAAATACTACCCTAACATTTCTACGTTCTAGACTTGAGCTGTGAGGCTTCCGTCCATAGCAACCATCACTAAACATCTTTCCAAATACTACCCTAACATTTCTACGTTCTAGACGTGAGCTATGAGCCTTCCGTCCATAGCAACCATCACTAAACGTCTTCCCAAATACTACCCTAACATTTCTACGTTACAGACGTGAGCTATGAGCCTTCCGTCCATAGCAACCATCACTAAACGTCTTCCCAAATACTACCCTAACATTTCTACGTTATAGACGTGAGCTGTGAGCCTTCCGTCCATAGCAACCATCACTAAACGTCTTCCCAAATACTACTCTAACATTTCTACGTTCTAGACGTGAGCTGTGAGCCTTCCGTCCATAGCAACCATCACTAAACGTCTTCCCAAATACTACCCTAACATTTCTACGTTACAGACGTGAGCTATGAGCCTTCCGTCCATAGCAACCATCGCTAAACGTCTTCCCAATGACAAGCAAATTAAACTTTAAGACACTAACCAGGTGCTATCTGGGAGCATGCGAACTTCACACACGGCCAGAGACCGACACGTCTCCCGCGATATGTTACAGACACCCCTTGAAGTTAGCAAAGTAAATATTTGATAATTATGAGCGAAATAATCAAACCTATTATCGAATAATGGAAGCATGGGCAGCAAACAACCAGAAAGATAATGGATCACAAAAATGACACAGGCAACCTCTGTCTGGTACCTGGTGGAAGAGCGACCTTTCCCGGTGTCAACTGAAGTGAAGGCAAGGGTGGTGGCATGCTATGTTTAGTTAAATCATGACTGAAGGAATATTTAAGGCTGAAAGAGGTAATATCTGATAGTATTTTGTGGATAAAGCTACACTGTAGATGGTTAGCCCTTTATTGATAATATTTTCCTACAGAAAGGTCAACATTCTATGACAGTTATGCTGTTGATATTTTTGATCCATGGAAAATTGAAATTGCCAAATTCAGCTGTATGGTCACGTATTTATCACGGGTGATCGCAACAGTAGAACTGGTAGAGAGCCTGACTTTATTCCATTTGATATTCTACGTTATAGTTCACATCAGGTTTTAGATAAGGTGACACCTTACAAAGGTGAAGTTGGTAAAATTGTGCTAATTCTGAAATGTTTTTGTTAACCAATTTGGACATCGTCTTTTACACATGTGTAAGACTACTGGTTTTCGAATTCTAAAGGTTCGGACAACTGGAGGCATCGAAGGTGAATATACGTTTTATAACGCTGTAGGTACAAGTGATTGATTATGTACATGCTCATAGAAATCATTTGGATCACGTTCAAAATTGTTATGTGGCGGATTTTGACGAAAATTCTGACCACGCGCCATTTATTCACTTTACAATCAGACAGTCATATTTATAATTGCTGTGACTTCAGTAATACTTTTAGTACTGTTAAGTATATGTCTTTGACAAAAGAAGCAATGGTGAATTATGTTGTTTCTATGAATGAAAATAGGGCATTTACTACAAATTCGTTGAATGCCTTAGAGAAAACTGTAGACA